TCTTCTGTCATATGTTTTTAACCTCAGCCTGGTACAAGTTTTCCCTCCCTCATCTCAAGGCTTGGTCTGTACAGATACCACCTTCTGGCACACCTGGGTTTCATGGTTTGTTGTCTGTGAATACCCAATACATGAAGTATGCCTTGTTATTTAAGCAACAGAGAAGCTAAGACTGAGTGATATGACACAGCTTTTCCGGATCCTTACTGCCACAGAAGGACTCTCTTCCACTTAAAAAATAAAAAAGTAAAAAAAATTCCATTATTTTCATGACTCCAATCAATATACTGCAGTTTCCCCAACTGGAAAGCAGAATTAAGAACACAATTAGTAAAAAATAATAGAGTTGGATACACAGGTGCCAAAATGTGCCATAGACCAAATATAACTAACAAGCATAAACCATCTGGATGTTTCACTGGCATGACTCACATCTGTAGTTTCCAAGTGTCTCCAACTGAGGCTTCTACCTCCTTGAGAACTGCCTTTGTGGTTGTTGTCATTTAATGCCTAAAGGAACAACAGCTTACGGCTTGGTATTTGTCACGTTAACTGTGGAATAAATTAAATCCTTTCTTACCAACGCACAGAGAACCCAACCTTAGTATTTAGGTTCATTTCTGTATGAATCTGCAGGATAAAATTCTTAGCAGAGTGCAGCTTCATGCAGCAGAGGCTAAGAGGTGGAATTATGTTACCACGGGCACAAAGCACCTACTCAAGCACACAGATCTGGTACATTTGCTATGAAATTAGTATGGTGATGGCCACAAGATAAATCTATCATACAAACCACCTGTACTTTAGCTGCAGCTCTAGCTCAGTGTGTTTCATCACATGTCACTTGGTTGCTTTACTCACAAAATGGACTGACGAATAAACACTGACTCTAGGGACTAAGGATAACAGGCTATAGCTGATAGCAAAAGTTGAGTTGTGCAGAAATTCTCCACTGTTGGAATAAGTCCTCAAAACAGAACTCATGTTCCTTCAATCCAGTCACCTGCCTGCAGGCCATGTAATATTTGAAGAACTCTGATTGCAAATATCTGAAAGTGGACACGGAGGCACTTCACGCGGATTTCAGCTAGGGAGGTTGACCACAGAAGATGGCTTCTGTGTTGCTTCGTGCACACCAAATGAAGTTAATTAATCTCTTTATAAGCCAGCTCAGCCATTTCACTGGAAGCATCTTTTTCCAGTACTAGTCAAGGCTTGTCCTTTCACTCCAAGATCTCTGTTAACCAAACAAAAGGAGGAAGTGACCAACCTAGGGCAATGCAGGAAACTTAGTGGAATATGACGATTACCTCCAATTCAGTGTTACTTCCTTTTGTCCTTAGCATCACCTTTCTCTGCCCTGCTCGTTTTCATAAAACTGCTTTATTACTCCGCAAGGACTCTTTGGATTTTACTGAACATCACCTGTTATTCATTGGATCTTTAATCTAGGCTCTTTGCAGGAAAAGAGTTTCCAAAAACACTATGGACTACGACCCCATTTTCCTATCTCAGCAGGGCTCTTGATGTACCCTGAGCAACCAGCTGACAGTCATACGGTCACAGTGGTCAGAACTCACTGGGAGCGCCTCCGAGTCTGAAAAGGAGGTTATTCTTTTTTTGTTGAGAGTATTTTTCCCTCCAGCAAGAATAAAGCAAAGGCCTTTTGCAGACAATACTGCTGCTCATCTCTTAGGAGACATTTGCTTTGCTACATCTCTACCATCAGTGAGAAACAGTAAGAAGAAGCTTCACCCCAGCCAGGTGGCACACACCGACCGGCACACCCCAGCTCACCACACCGCAATGATCTGCAGTGCTTTTTCCATTCCAGTCCTCTTTCATGCCTCCTCAGCATCTGAGAAGATAACTTTTCCTCTCAAAAATTCAGTTCTACTTCATTTCCCCTGTTTCACCTCTTTACTACTTTCAGCACTTACTTACACTACACTGGCTGTGGTGTGGGCTCACCTAGAGACACGCACGCAGCCTTCACGCTTGCCAAGCTTCCACTCTCTATAGACTCTTCCTCCTCTGGGAACTAACACTCTCTAGCTTTTTTTTTTACAATGACTAATACAAGGCCATCGCTCCATGTCCACTTTCTGGTTTCAATCCCATTTATTATTCCTACTTTGATTCATTTTATGAAAGTAAATTAATGATATATAAAAAAAAATAACTGTCACTGGTGACCTGTTTTTTAGCTGGACTGCACTACAGGTTTGATTCAATAAAAATAGTGTTTCAGACTGGTTATAATTTAACCTTCTGCATCAAACACTGTCTTCCTGAGTGCTTTCTCTTCACCACATACTTACAGGAACCTAGTTATCCACTATAAATTAGAGTTTCTGTAAGTTCACAAGGCTATAATTTCATCTTATAATTTTTAAAAACATATTGGGCCCTAGATTAAAGCTCAGGAAACCCCTCCTGACTGGGTCTGCTGGCTTTGACCCCTTCACCAGTAATCCAGAAGCAGCTTTGGTCAAATCCAGACCAAAACCAACAGCATAAAACTGAAGCAAAATTTGGTGCAGAAATTGAAAAAAATTTGAGCGCAAGCCAAAACCCACAGCTCCGAGGAGCTTTACATTGCTCATGTACATCTGAGCATGCAGGTAAGCAAACTCCCCAGCTGCCAGTGTTAAGGTTTTAGACAGAACTTTGCTTCTGAGCAGGCTCTGTCTTGGCAGGGCAGAGTTACCGCCCACAGTCCCCACCAGACCCGAGCTGGCCGTCCTTTGCCTGTCTCCTTGCAGAAGAACCCATGTGACAACGCAGGGCATGCCAACCCAGCTGGGCTTTGTGCAGCCAGTCGTTGTTGGGATCCATTTCTGAAAGGGACTTTAAACTTACCTTCCTCAGCCCCTTGGCAAATGCCCTTAAGTTTAGGTCAGCCTGTGGGTGGAGACACATCTCAGCTTCCTTAAGCTGTAACCCCCCACCCAGCACACACCATTTCACAGGCCCAGGAAGGCTGCATGCCAGAGCTGAGGTCGCCCACCTGAAGGGAAGCAGCCAGGGTTTGCAGTCTGTGCTTGTAACACCTAACTGGAAAGTATTATTTTCCAGATCATGTTTTTCTTCCTTCAGCAATTCTTGAACTACTCTGAATTCTCATCTGGTCAGCCCCCACCTGATTTTACCGATCAGCTTTGCCACCTTGGTTCCACAGCTTTGCATCTGAAATCATCGCTTCAAGGACAGCGAAAATAGTTTCAACTAACGTCATCAGCTCATCGTATCTTAAGTCCTCAACCAAACAGCAGGACCAAGGAGTTGCATTGCAAATGATGTGCTCAAGGCAGATGCGCTCCATGTGCATTTACATTCCTTAACTCAAACAGAATTCCTCAGCCATAAACCAACAGATTTCCTTAGTTATTGCAGCACTTCTACGAGTATTCAACCTATGTATTTCAACTATAACTCTCCTAATATATCCAAGGCTAAGAAGTGCATTTAAAAATCAGCTCATCCTGATTCCACTCTTTGCCTCTGCATTTTTATTCTGCTGAGCCCTAAAGTAGCTAATTTCCATTATCTGCTTTATTTGTCCTCTATCAATACCATTCACTCTCTATACCTTCTTTCCCTTGTGCCGGTAACAGTGTTTCAGTAGCAAAAGGGCTTTTCATTATACACCATTTTGTTGACTAATGAAACTGATCGATTCTTTTGACATAATGAACTACAGCCAGAGTTTACTGACTTCCACTAATCACGGAAAACCCCTGATTTGCCTTATTTGATGTCTGCTCAGCAGTTCCCTGCAGAAACGTAGGCAGAAAACTGCAAGATATTACTTTACTCAGATGGATAAAGGCAAAAGTTTGCTGGGCTTCACATGCTCCACCAAGAACAATCTCTGAAAACAAGCTGGAAGCTACAAGAATTAACAGCCAGATTTCATGGAGAACAAATATCTTCCATTCAATGTATTTGGTTTCCAAACAGTGAACTTGCAATGAAAAGTACCAAATCCCACTTAATATTAAAATAAAAATAAAAACCCAAGTATGCACGTTAAAATTTTTTTTTTTTTTTTCCTGACAGCACATTTACATATGGGGGAAAACCCCCATATTAGATGTGTTGGCGCACTGGAGGACAAGGAAGACAGCTTCACCCGACAGAACCGATGTCCTGTCCCTGCCACCATACCGGTGTTTCTGCCGGGCAATGGACGGGGCCACAGCCTGAAACACACTGCACAGAGACGGTCACGCTCAACTGGGCTGTTGCCGACGGGCAAGAGGAGGTCTGTTATGGTGACATGGGGTCCTTACATTCACCATCAGGGCACATTTCATTCAAAAGAACCCATTTCTCAATCTAAAGCACCTGTGCCTTCTAAACTACTCTAGCAAGACAATGGTGACACACCAGCGAATCTTTCTATACATCTTACCCAAATTTTGAGCAACATGACAGCTGCTGAGAGAAGGATAAGAGAACAAGTTGGTCTGGAATTTAATGGGCTTCAAATAAATGTGTGTATTGGGTTTAGGTTCTGCGTTCCTGCTCAAAAGTCTGTCTTTCTCCAATTTAATTTGTCTGCAAGCATTAAGGCACTAAGAACTCCTGCACCCCCCATATAGTCTCGGGGACTAGAGAACAATGACTGACAAACAACAAAAAACCCTTATTGCATGAATAACCCATTAATTTGACCGTGAAAGCTTTTAATATTCTTGCTTTCTACACTACACACACCCCAAAAAAAAAAAAAAAGTCACAAAAAACAGTTTTCTACTTACAGCCAGAACTACATTTAGAGATGGTTAAACTGACTGTTAGACAACCTACTTCCAAATAATCCTGAGTTAACACAAAAACCCTTAGGTTACCTTTAGAAATGAGATCTTATTTTAAGAGTGAGGTAGACAGGCACAGTACCAGGACTATCACTGATACTGCTTGCACTTCCCAGTACGTATTTTGCAGTGACATCATGCAGCATGAAACCCCAAAGGAAATTCAACGGAAGCGTCTTTAGTAAAACGTAGAAACTTTAATTTACATGCAGAACTACAACATATTCATAATAAAAAAACTGGTGACTAAAATTAAACACATTTGTAAAAATCATCCACATTGTTAAATAGGTCTGTACAACCAGAGATTTACAAAGTCCCCGTGCATCTTCATCTTTCAATGCACAACTGAGTTTAAAGGTTCTGCTCGAATATTCCCCAGGTCGAGAGCTGAATCTGTCTCTTCATCAATTTCACCGATGACAGCACTGCAATAAAAAACAGGTTATCGTTTGTTGAAATCCCCTGGTGCAAATCCAGCTAGCAAGTCTTGCTAGCAAAGACTTTTTTTTTTTTTTTAAATTGTAGAGCTCAATTTTGTAGAACTTCAAATTTTGATGGCTACAAGTAGAGTCTGAAGGAAGTTTGGTTTGTTTGTTTTAAAGATGTAGGTTATAAGAACCAAATACTACTGGCCTGTTCTACGAACCCGGTTAGCCTCTGAAACAAGAACTGGAAATCTTTTAAAGAGAGAGAGAATAGCTTTTCAAGAGTAATGTCTAACTGTAGCAATTTGTAAGGGCATATGGCATCAGATAAGCAAGACAATTTCCCTCAACACAGCCTAGTAAAGGGCTATTAATTTATCCAAGGGAGAATCTATAATATTTCTCCTCTGCCATGTGAAGACTTACCTGGACTAAAACACTAGCAGACTCAGTAAAACTGGTTTAAAGAGAAAAGAAGGTTAAGGTAATAGAAGTCCTACTAGCTCAGGACGGGAACTAACCCAGAGGGAACACAAGAACAAAATGTCTAATCCTCTGGCCTACTCTTCTGTTCACCACTCCAGAGACTTACGAGCTAGTGGCTGTATCCAAAAATGAATTAACAGCCACCAGAAACTATGCTATATTAATCCATTCAATAACTTTCTGAATAAATTTCTATTTTTGGTCTTTGCTACATCCTGCAGCAGTTGAGTTCCACAATTAAGTTTCACAGTGTGCAATGAAATACCTTCAAGCAGAACTTGTTGTCAGACTTTCTTCCATTTTCAACAACAGAAAACACTAGAGGAATTTAAATGAAGCAATTATCTTCCCATCTCCTGCTACTCCTAATTTCATAGCAATCAGAAAATGGTTTTTCACAACTGAAGAGCCCTTGCCTCGTCAGCCTTTCCCTGACAGAAAACACCTCATACCTCTAAGTTATCCTCACTTGCGCTCCTCGTGCATTTTCACACCGCACCCCTCTAAAGACAGTGGCATACCAGGTGTTTATGCAATGACATAACAATGTCTGCTGGTTTAGTTTTCTTCCTAATAACCCCCAATATTCTTTCTTACCAGTGAATCTGTATTTACAAAAAATATTAACCAGAGACCAGGGTGAGACTGAGCTTAAGAGTAAAACACTCCAATAGAGGTGTCCAGGTTCTAATGATGCTCAGCAGAAACTAAAGAGGAATTTAAATTGCCTTGAAACAGAAATCTGAGCAGCTGAATAGCTTTCTTCATTCCATCGCTTAGAACTTCACTACGTTGGGAGCGGGGACAACGCAAACGTAAACTGCTTATGCCAACTGAATAGTCCAGTACTGACCAGCACGAAGCCTCATTTCAAACTGGAGCCCCTTCACAATTCTTGTGTGAAAAGAGTTTGATCCTGGATGCTCGTTACTATTCCATTTATGAGCTTTTTCCGAAGTGACACTTCCATTGAGAACACTTCCTTAGACCAAAAACTGTCTATGATATTAAAGCACAAGTTTTCTTTCAGTTCACATCATGAAATACAGCTTTTTCTTCATCCTCCCAGATGTAAAAGGAGCAAATAGTACCTGCCACTCCTGAGGTCTCCTTCATAGGCTTTCTGCTTCTCATGCAGCAAAACAAACACACATGTATTTAAGAGGTTTGGGGTTTTCATCAGCTTTTCTTCACAATTTTTATTACAGTTTTACACCTAACTTCCTAGTATTAACAACTTTTTTGGTTTCCCTAATTAATCACTCACTTCTAAAACAGAAGTTGTCTTTTTCCTTCGAACAACCTTTACTTGCTGCTGAACAATACTGAGTTTTTCTGATTGATGCCGCATGTTCACTGCAAGCTTCGAGTGAAGCACACTGGGATGCCTGGAAGCACTTCATCCCACGACTGTTTCTCTTCTTTTTCAACAGCTTCCCTATTTTCTGAGAGTCCCCTATTCTGAAGTTACTGTTACTTAGCTGTTGTTTCTTTTGCCTTCTTCCTCCAAGGATGCTGAATTTCACTATGCTAAGAGCTGCATGAATACAGAATTATTCCTTCTAACAAATATGTTTCCGAGTTTGTTAAGGTTACCAAAAACCAGAATAATTTCTGTCAAAGAATGTTTTGAGTATATTTGAGTAACGTGGCAGCCTGGTATGGTGAAAAAGTAAAGTAGTAAACAATTATTTGGCTTTTTATAGATGTGTACTATTTGAATGAAAAGTTACTGGTCAAGTAGCATGTTTAGCCCTGTCTTTGTAAATTTGTCAATTTATTTTTGCTTAACAGCTTAAGTGATGCAAGCCTTCCAAAATGATCTCCTTTCTCAATGACGTTAGATAAATATACCTAGATAAAAATCTAAGTCTTGACATTTCTTAGTACAGAAATATCCATCAGAATTAGAAGATTAAAATTCCTATCCAGGCTCACCTGTTGGTTATTGTGATATGTTCTTTTTCTGCTTGTGATAAAAAATAATCTAAGCTTTTGACATCAGTTTCAGACTGCTGCTGCAAGTCATCTTCCTCGCAGACCTCCTTACCAGGCCTTCTTTCCACTTCTCTTGTAACCCTCCCATCTGTTTGTGCATCAAACATCAGCTACTTTCCTCTGCATTTAACGAGCTTTTACTTGCATTTTGTCAGGGTGTTTTACATTAAATATCAACTCATACATTTCACCTGTCACCACATCGGCTTCAACAGTTGTTACACTGTCAAGCCAGAACCTTCATGCATTTTCCAGATTATAAAGTGTCCTCTGTGAACACCTCATCTAAAAAAATCCTATTAAAAGTCAACTTTGTATACTAGACCGTTGACTTTTTGCACACAACTTTATCCCTCTTTTGCTCATTCCTCTATTTTTCCTCCATCGACGGATCCTGCCTTTCACAGGCTGGAATAAAGATACACGATGCCTGGCTCACGAAAGGAAAATGCTGAGCTTTATACTGACCTCTCCTGGATTGCTATCTGTACCTGAGCTGGTTAATTCACAGCTCAGTGAATCCAGACTAACAACACCCGAACATGACAATGCAACCACTTCTGTAACAGACACGGGGGCATTTGCTATTTAACATGCCTCAGTACTGGCCGTGCTGTCGCTGCTGCCCCCAGGTGCACAGACGCCCGACGGCTGGGGCTAGCAGGATGCACACAGACACACTATGTGTACACACACACGCACAATGAATTTCTACTAATTGCTTTAAACAAGAATATGCTATACTCACACATTATCGCCTCTCACAATGTATAATCCCAGCACTACTTGTTCAACTCCTTGTGAAGAACTGAACACTCGTTCATGGCTTTCATCCAAAATCAAGTTAATGGTCTGATCAAAACCTTTGAGGGTTCCCTAAAAAAACATACAAAAATAAAGCACTCCAATTACCTTTCACATTCATCATCTTTGCTCTCAATGATTTCTTAAACAAGACAGCAACACAAAGCTACTAGAGAACAGATGCTCTGTTCAGGCTTTACTGTTAGGCTTAAATATAAACAGCTGGAGAACGAAACTTTCAAAGCAATAATCAATTTAAGAAAAGTATCTGTATTTACTACTGAGTGTTCATGCTAAAAGCTACAGTCATCTTCAGCGCCAGAAGAAGCAAAGTTTCCCTTTTACCAACAATGGCCCTCTAGACAACTAATTTTACTGTTTCTACACTATTTTAGTCTTCCTTATATGGAAGTTCCCAGAAATCAAATAATTAAGCAATTAAGTCAAAGAACAGAAAAATTGGATTCTTGGGGTCAACAACATTGCCACCCTTCTTAACATGCATTTTAAGTGGCATCTCTTTGAAGGAGATCAGCTTGGTTCCACAAAATTACTCAAAAAAACCCCAACAAACCACCACATAAAAAGAATTTCTGTGCCTTTTCAATTATGTGTTTGGAAAAAGGATAACATAATTGATTTGTGTAATTCACCATCAGTAATTGATTAAGAAATTTTAACTCATGTAAAACATCAAACAGTGTTAACGTCCCTCTATAGCATCTAACCATGTAACGATGAGTCATATATACCAATTTCATTCAAATCTTTTTGGTAGAAAGTATCTTGCATCCCACACAGTTTACCAGACTGAATCCAGACAGACAGAAGATTTGGTAAAGCTAGTATTTTTCTGCTAAAAGTACTGTCTCTCTTTCCAGAGGCCTCACAAAGCTAAGTATAGACAATTATAATCCTCATGCAATGATATTATTAAGATGAAAACACAAAAGAATAAAAGATGGGGGCGGAATACAAGAAAAACAAGTACTACAGAAGATATAAACCCAAAACTTTTACGCAGTCTAAGATATAACAGATTGCAAATCCTCAGGTTTTCAGGCTTAAACAGAATCCCGCAACAATTCTTCATTGATTATCAGTTTTTCTATAACCATATGGAAGAAATGGTTTTAGCGTGAAAGCTGAAGAGCTTACTGAACAAAGAGGACATTTTAGATGGAAACCAAATTACTGGACAGAAAAAGAAAGGCATTTTCTTGTGCATTCCTACAGAAAAGGCCATTTGACAAAAGTCAAAGCATTTGCACAGACAAGTTTATCAACAGACAAAACTAAACAGACAAGAACCAGTAAGTGTTCAAGTCACACACTATGAAATAACGGACACAAAGCTTTAAAAAAAAATTTTGCAAAGGCGTGAACATATAAGTGATAATATCTTAGCATGGTTTATTTATTGCAGTGATGAAAAGTCTTTATGGGGGAAAATAAAACGTTAAAAAATACAAGTCTCACCACAATCATTCTTCCATCAGAAGTAATTACTGCAACAGTACCTGATAGTTCATTAAGGAAATGTTTATAGAGATATCTGAAAGATACATTAACATTTTCTGAAAGGTTCACATGTAACCTTAAATTTTAAGAGCCATTAAGAGAGAAAAAATCCTCTCAGCATTTCTTTTTTAAAGATAAAGCAGCACAGCTGATAGTAACGTTTGACAACATAGTATTTTTTATGACAATCTGTTTTAAAGTTTAACTTTACCCAATCATGGGCAGTCATACACAAACATGAACACCATTAAAAGCAGACTAAAGAGTTGAGTTCACCTCTCTTCCCCTTACTAACTGTAGCACCTCAAAACTGAAACAACACAATTTTATAAACACTTCAAGCCGAGTCCTTAAAAACAGCTTAGCAGTGGGGATCCCATCTGCATTCTACATCCCCTCACTCTGAAGGCCTGACTATCCCAATTTGATGGTCACATATCCATCACCCTGAATGATTTGGCGTTAGTATCTTACTGCTTGTGAATGAAACTGAAAATGCCCAAAGGAGCACAAAATACAGCATGAAAAAGGTTCCAAGAACACTAACTCACAGCTTTTGAGCAAATGACGTAAAGCTGACAACCAAACACATGTTAAGAACCCTCTAAGGGACCAGGCCCATTGTGAATCTCGTTCCTCACCACAGCCCAAGCAAGGATCAGGTTTGCAGCACGAGAGGTTATAGGGGACCCTCTTCTCCGTGTCTCCTGTAACCTCCGTTCCACCTGCCAAGCCA